CAGAATTCTGTGGTTTAGGGTGAACGCAAAATTGGTTGGCCTAGATCTAGGCTATAACGGTGAACGCGCACCGGGTGAGAATAGCCAAAAGTCAAAAGTAAAAGACTCGCCTGCACTATAGAGGTGGCCTTTACTTTACTGTAACAGATCAAATTCAGAGTCTTAATATGTCTACGGCTCAGTGAATAAAGTAGGCCAACCTTACGTCAACTTCTTTTGCACCTTTTGTGGCACTGGTAGATCTAGTGGGGAGTGGGTGCACTGCGACTGGAAATTGTTTTCTTCTGCTCTAGAATCTAGACTTCTAGTTTCTATTTGTTTATTTCTTGTCTCCCCTTCCGCCTTCCGTTATTCTTCCGACTTCCGCATCGGAAGCAGTGGGTTTATTCCCATAGACTTGTATTGTAATCCTAGATAGTACAATGTGATACATTTCCGGTTCATTGAGGAGGTCATTATTTTACTCAATTTGAGCAGAAGAAGCCACTATGTACACTCGACTGAGTAGACTTTAGCACTTCGTTTAAGCATAGCAATATTACTGCCAATGGTGACAACTTTTTGCGGCAAAGTTTTAGAGAGAAAGAAAAAAAAAGACGGCCATAAAAGTATACCTTCTAGGAGTACAATAAATCTATGGGTGTGTCGATAATCCTCTTCTTTTCCTCAGTCCCTTTAACTAAGATTTTCCTCAAATATTTCTGAATCTTTGGAGGGATTCACACAAGAGTTGGATTCACCAGAGAGTATTTCTGAATCTGAATCCTCCACCCCAAAAAATATTTTTGGCCTTTAATAATATTTTATAGACATGAAATAAAATATATAAACAAAAATAATCAATAACACAAAACAAACCGTTCCATAATAATAGCATGCATTATAGTAATAATTTGTAAAAGTACGCCTAATTTTGCTTATTTCTACTTCAACTGAATTATACGCCCTATGGCTAATCACGGCGGGTATAGCTTAGCATAATATACTGTTTTTACATGAAACACAAATTATAGCTCGGTCCAGACACAATAGAAATTGTAGCGGGTGCAGGTCCACTAAGACTCGACGGTCTAAAGCCATTTTATTTTTCTTAATTCTTGACAGTTCGTGGTTACAATGTCGAAATTAATTGCAGTTTTACTTAGTTCCAAAACATCAAAGTTCAGTTAGCAATAATATTTAATCAAACGCCATTCTAAAACAGCTGTTTTCTTTTCTTTTTTATGGACCGTCCCATAACACTCCCTTGCATTCATTCATGCTTTCCATCCATCTCTCTCTCTCTCTCTCTCTCTCTCTCTCTCTCTCTCTCTCTCTCTCTCTCATTTATGAAGTGAATGTTTCTTCTGGTAATTTTATCCGTACATGATCATTTTATGCAAGTGACATTTAAAAGGCACCATTGGCGGATGTTGAATCCTTCGCCTACGCTGGGTTAAGTGTCATCAACAAGACAGGGGGAAAAGACGAAGACATCAAGGTCAGAATCCAAAAGGCAAGAGCAGCATTCATCATCCTCATGAACATATTATGGATGTCTAAAGAACTGGGATTTTATACCAAGCTAAGGATCTTCAAAACAAACGTAAAGACTGTTCTACTGTATGGTTCAAACACATAGAGGCTCACAGCATCAGCAGCAAGGAAACTACAGAGCTTCATAAATGGATGTCTAAGAAGGATAGTGTGGATCAAGTGGTGTGATCGAGTCACAAATGCTCAACAGTGGGAAAGAACAAGCCAAAGGCCAGTAAAGGAAGACACACAGGTGAAGAAATGGAAAAGGATTGGGCATGCCCTTAGGAGACCTCTGACAAGCATCATCAGACAGGCTTTGGCCAGGAATCCACAAGGAAAACGTAAGAAAATGAAGACCAAAGATGACATGGAGGCGAGCGGTACAAGCCGAAAAGGAAAAGGCGGGGACATCATGGAAACAGCATGAAAAGGATGCACAGAACAGGCTTCGCTGGAGACATGTTGTTGATGGCCTATGCTCCACGGTGAGTTAAAAATAGCAAGAGAGACATTTAAAAGGAATCAACACTCATTTGTTATCCTAGTAATCGTTAGTAACCTACAAATCTGTTTTCATTGTCTAATAAATTTCTCGTCAAGAAGTGGTATTCGAAATATCGGACGCATTTATAATTTGATAAATCGTGGTGCGCATATACCTTTTTATTTCTTCTTTTGGGTCTTTCCGTCGGCCACTGAAGCCATAGGCTACTTACAAAGACAAACAGTAATTAACAAATCGTGAAACTGATGCCGTGAAATTTGGATATTATACAGCGAAGTCATCGGGCCTAACCTCATAATGTAGGGCTTAACATAAGGCATTATAAGCGTCTGTTTCCACAGGCCAGCACACAATTCATTACGCAGATTTACGTCTACGTCTAGATTGTGACGCGTCTGTATCTCTGCCGACTCAAAACGTATTATATGCCTACGCCCCCCCCCCAAAAAAAAAAACCACCAAAAAAATCCAAACAAAAACCCCCCCATCCCCTCAGACACACGATCCTAGTAACCTACAACCACCCACCTAGACTTTTTTTTACCCTTGCACATATTAGGCCTCTATATGGCACGTCATGTCTTACGCGTGGGTCAACAACGCACGTGTTGGTGTGAAACGCTTCTGATCGGTCGCAATATAGGCTAGGCCAAGCGTGTACTGATCCACGGTGGAGGTGCGATTGATGGACTCCTGGAATAGAGTAGATAGGGTTCGTTGCGGTTTCGTTGAATCCGAGTTCAGTTATTTAAGTGTTCGATGAACTTTGAAGCCCCC